CTTTAAATCGTGAATTAGATTTCTATCATCATTCATTAAAATTTATGTTAAAATTTTTTTATCAATAAATACATTAAACTATTAATAGCTAGAAAATATACACCATAAATATCTTTACCATTTAAACTATAAAGAATAAAAAATATGTTTAAAAAATACTTCTTTTAGATAAATTAGGTTATCTCATTAATATCAAATATTTTTTATAGAGATTTACTGTTTTAAGATACAAACATTTTATACTTTTGAATTTATATTCAAGTTCACTTACAGTTTTATAACATGAAATATGATTTGAATTACCAGAAACAGTTCTTTCGTCAAATATAATTACTTATTTATATTTATTCACTTTTATAAAGTTCATGGAAAAGTAGTTAACAAAAAAGATTTTAAAACTCTTCTAAGAAAATTTAAGATTGCTTGTACTATGAAAGGAATTTACTCCATTGTTTTCATCATAGGTAATATCAGAACATATTATTACAGATAGCTCATAAAAGATAAGAAATTTTTCAATTTTTTCTTAATTGTTTATCTATTCATTTGCCTTTTTAACGCAATAAAGATGTTTTTTCTGTTTTGAAATTTTAGTTGTTTATGATAGGCTATAAACGAAACTCAGTTTAGAAGTTTGATTGAAGAATCTTTTTATAAAATCTCCTTTAGGCCTTATGTTTCATTATCTATAAAAATTTTAGTATATTTGATAAAGTCTACTACAAGAAAAATTATTTTTTATAAGATTAAATTTTTACTTTTTTAATTTTTTTGTTTTATTAATTGTAAATCATATATAAGATTTAATTATACAATTGATTGCAGCATTTATATTATTTATTGTAATGGTTATCCAAATGAGGATATATGTTATTATAATAGTTACAAAGACCATAGTTTATCACTGATATACGTAAATGATTGAAAAGTTTTTTTATATTGATTCAAAATTTATAACTTTTTTATTCAATTGATTGCAAAACTTATTCAATTAGTTGAAAATTCTATACTACTCACATAATTAATTTTAACACATTAATTGATTATTGCAGTTTAATTAAGAATGAAGAAATATATTGTAAAATATTTGTAGCTTTTTATCAAAATAAAGTTGAAAAAATTGTTAAGTGATTAAGGAATGTTGTTTTAAGTGTTTTTCTGATAAATATTTTATAATTTTATTAAGAGTTTAAAGATATAATCTTTTTAATTTATAAACTTATTAAAATTATGTTTATGATTTTTAAAAAAAATATTTATCAATAAAAGGTATAAAATTAATAATGTGTAAGGTTAGTTGAAATAATTTAAATTATATTGTTTGAAATTATTGTTACATTATTAGAAATAGTTTGTGATAAAAATAATATTGATTGATTTAATAATTTATTAAGAAAAAATGTTTAGAATTTCACTTGAAGATGTTGAAGAAATCCAAGATTTAATTATCGAACAAAATAATTCTGATATTAATGTTTAAAATTTTAACATATTTAATTTAATCTTGTATTTCCACAGAGGAGTTCTGTTATTAATGATAGAGCGTGTCTATGAAACACAATTTTTATTATTATAATATTTGAATTAATTATCACGTAATTTAAAACCATTTAAATGTTATATTATTTAATTTTAAATAAATTAGTATAGTATAAATTAAATGAAATTTTATGATTTTAAATTTAATTTATAAAGAATTTTTGTTGCTGTTTTTAACCATTAATCATAGAGATACAGATAAAAATTTAATAGTGATAAATTTATTAATAAAAGCTTTTATGACAGTAATTTTTAATAATATTATTCATAAAATAGTTTTTAAACTGTTAAAAAGAAATTAAATAAATAAATCATGATTCACAAAAGATATTTAAATAAAGATAACATTAAGTGTTGTTTTTAACAAGGTCTACCTAATATACAAAATATTAAAACTGGAAAACAACTTTTAAAATACTTTATTACTTATCAATTAATTATTCACAGAGTCATTAGATACAAGATTATTGAAAATTTTCACTAATTTTTTTTCAACCTCGTAAAGCATTTTTAAAACTTTATCACTTTCATAAAAATCATAAAGCTTATGAAACGATATTTTGTTTTTAATCTGTAAAATTAAATATTTAGTAAAATCTTTTGCATCTTTTAATTTAAACTCTTTCTGATTAAAAACCAATAAATATATCTTAAATAATTCTAAAAGATAAACAATTTCATTAAGTAAAATTTGTAATTCTTCTCCATGTTTCATAAACTTCTTTAAATCAATATTAAAATTGCTTAATATTGCATCGAAATCTTTGTCATAACTAGATAGTTCTTTTTTATTTATTTTAGCATTAATTATATCAATTTGATTTATTTTTTCATCATAATAATACATCGTGTCTTTTAATTTCATTATTAAAATCATGTCAATACTAGATGATCTTAATGAAAATACCCAAAGAGTGTTATAAATTTTAAAGTTTAAATCGGTTTTTAATAATAAAAAATCTTTAAATTCTTCTTTAATTTTCTCGTAATTTTGATATTCACAATCGACATCTACGAAATTTAATCGTTTAATTACTGCTTCATACAAATAAAAAACTTTTTTGCCTAATTTTCTAATACATTTTCTCTTCTCATTACCTGTTAAAATTTTAAAATTTACATATTTACAAGTAGAAAATATTATTGTAGCTAATTTAAAGGAGTAAAAATCAACAGATTTAAAAAATTCAATGTCTTCTTTTCCCAATAATTCACTACAATTGAAATTATTGTCATTATTTACTACTCTAAATATTTCGTTAAAAAAATCAACCATATTTTTTTTATAATTTTCGTCGTTCAACTTAATCACATTTAATTTATCAAGACAGTCTTTTAAGGCATTTTTCTCATTAAAAAAAGTGGTATTAATTTTTATTATGATTTCTAAAACTTCTTTTAAAAAACCAATTTGAAAGTTTCTAAATAACGAGTTGAATTCTTCTATTAAAGTAGTTATCTCTTCACTTTTTATAATATCTTCACATCTTTCTCTATCAACCACAAAGGTATTATTGCTTAATAGAAACATCACACTTCTTAAAATACTTATTAGCATACTTTTTATATGGGGTTATCAAAAAAATCAAATTAAATTTTTTTATGAAATATTTTTAAATAAAAATTGATCAATTTTATTTG